TTTCGAGAAGATGAGGCATCCAACCCCAAACGTGGCTTCAATCTTTGTTGCCACCTTTACTATTGGGAGGAAAGGGTTCAAGCCCTTATATGTAGTAGCAAAATAGGTGAGAGACCGGGTGGAAAAGATTAGCAAGGACGATGCTGATCAGGAAGGAAAGAAGCAACCTCCTGTAAAGGATAATGGAAAGAATAAAATATAGGAGGTCTCTAAAAAGAAGTATACGATTCTAATACCGAAGATGGAGGGTTAATGGCAAGCCCACCACCTTAGTTCGAAGTCCCAACATGGGAAAAATTAATGGTAGCCTCCATTGCTACGAGAAAGGGAGGCAAAAGAGGCCAACTGTTGTTTAGTCTTTAAGGTAATAATCGTCGAAGATGGGGATGACCTCGAGCGACTCAACAATTGCCTCGGATGTAACTCCTCGCACCAAGCTTTCCCTGTCTAAGAGAAGCAACGAGCTGGCCCAGGAGGCTATGTCTATGCTTCCTTCGAAAAGTACTAGATGGATAGGTAGCAGATCTTTGTGGAGATCTGTGACTCGATGGACATGTTTGCCACCATGGTGAGCCAAGCAGGTAGGGAATTTAGGGTCGCCATAAAGGCTAAAGTCCTCTTTAAAAACCTTCAGAAAAAGAATGAGTTTTCCAATAAGGTATCACAGGCAGAAGAGGAGGCCAACAAAGTCAAGTCTGAAGCTGAGGTCGCCAGAAAGCAACGAACTAAAGAGGTCATAAAGTTCGCTCCACTTTAGTAGAAATTGACAATTTGAAGAAATGAGTCCAGTTATTCTAAAGTGAGGTACACTTCTAAGCTTTCAATACATCAGAGTTGAGGTTAGAGTTTTTGGAGAAAGAGAAGTTCAGACCCCTGTGGATGGTAGCCACGAATTAAACTACAAGATGATGAGACTGGGAGGACAATGCGACTTCTGAAGTGGTTAGCCCCCAAGCTATTGTCAATGAAATCTTTTTTTTTTGTTTACACTTGTGTTAATTTCCCGATTTTTGTTTTTATGTTATTGCTTTGTTGATGTTCTTCAGCCTTTGTTTAAGATTTGCTATATTCAAATTTGTACAAATTTTAGAAGTTTGTACGTTCATTGACTTTTTTCCTTTATCTTTCCTTAGCATGGGGTTGAATGATTCGTCGATGCTGAGGCTTCCTCTATGACTTTTGTCTTTTGGGGACATGTACTATCTACTTTGACAAATAAGAAGGTGGTCCATTTTGGGATCCATCTCTTCGTTAAGGTGCCCATGCTTCCATGTCTAGTGGATGCCTCATCAGATAGAGGCTTCTCCCAAGATCTTTGTAGCTGGGAGGTACTTTTCTTTTCTTTCAATGATTTTAACAAGTATACTTTTATTGAATTAAACAAACTGTACACGAATTAAGCCTTTGCGCTTCTACTAGTAGTACCTCCTCAGGTATTCTGCATTCCAAGGATGAGGCTATATTTTTCCATCCAAACTTTCGATCATATAGGTTCCAAGTCGAACATATTCTTTGACGTGGTAGGGACCTTTCCTGTTAGGACCAAGGGTGCCCACTTCTGGCCTTTTAGAAGATATGAATACTTTTCGTAATTCAAAGTCATTCACATGGAAGGACTTCTTCTTGATCTTTGAATTGTAGGTTATATTTCCTTGTTAGGCAGCTAAATTTACTTAGGATTTATTCCTCCTTTCATCAAGGAAATCAAGTTCGCACATCCTTATCTATCATTGGATATTTCATTGAACTATATGCAACGAGAAGATGGTAGACCTAGTTCAATCGAGCTCATGGCCTTTGCCCCATAAGCCATAGAAAAATGAGTTTCTCTTGTGGTTGTCCTACTAGTGGTTTGTATAGCCCATAAAACTTGATATAGCTCATCCACCTGCTTTCCTTTGGAAGCATCCAACTTTCTTTTGAGGGTATACTTGATGGTTTTATTGACAGCCTCCATTTGCCCATTAGCCTAATGATTGTGGAGGTAGAGAAATGATTCTTGATCCCTAGCTCTTTACACAAGTCATTGACCTTTTTGTTATCGAATTGCCGCCCATTATCTGAGACAGTTGAGTGGAGAATTCAAAATCGGCATATAATATTCTTCTATAAAAACTTGGAAGTGTTTGCTTATGTAATTTTGGCTAGAGGTTCAGCTTCAATCCACTTAGTAAAATAATCAATGGCGACATGGAAAAACTTGAAATGTCCCTTCGTTTAGGTAGGAATCCTATAAAATCAATCTCCAATTTGGCAAAAGGCCAAAGGCCAGAGACAACACTTAGTTCCTGGAAAGGTTGTCTTTGTACTATCGAGAAGCGCTGACATTGTTACACGTTCTAACAAATTGCTATGTATCATTTTTCAATATAGGCCAATAGTATCAGTACCTCAACACCTTCTATACCAAAGCCCATCCTCATGCATGGTTACCACAACCCCGTCATGAAATTCTCGGAGCACATAGATGGCCTATTTACCACATACGCATCGGAGTAGGGGTAGGGAGAAATCTCGTTTGTGTAGCACATCATCTTGGAAAAAAAATATATGTAGCTCATCTTCTAAGCTTTTGCGCCTTCTCTTTGTCAAAGAGCAATACTTGATCTTTGAGAAATGTTATGATAGGTTGTGTCTACGGAAAAATATCTTCTACCCATATTACATCTTCACCTTTAGAAGTTGAGGGTCTAAGGAGGTATTCTATATGCACAACAGTAAAAAGTTCAGAATCTTTACTACTTGCTAGCTTCGAAAGAACGTTGGCATGGACATTTTCCATACGCGGGATTTGACCCAACTCGAACTTTTCAAAAGATGGAACAACACACCTAATTCCTAAATGGGTTAGATAGACACAAGAAAAACCTCTACGCACAAAAAATTTCTCAAACCTCAACATAAAGAAAAGATGTGACAGATTGTCCTCAGCCTACCCCCATCATTTGCTAAGCTCCAGAAGCTTGTTAGCTAAATCCCAAAACAGAAAAAGAAAAATGCTCACCAAACAAATTCCAAGAAACAACACTTTATTGCCAAAAAACCAAACTCTGTTCCCAAAAATGAAGAATCTAGAAGAAGAAGTATATGAGGCTGAAGGAAATAGTAGTGGGGGACGAGAGACAAGCAGGGTTGTGGTGGTAAGTGGTAGAAGGCAGCGAGAGACGAGAGTCAGAGGCTAAAGCAGTGAGGTATTAGGATAGAGTCATAACGGAGAGGCGAAGAGCCAAGAAGAGTAAAATATGTAATTAAATTGAAATGTGCAACCTATGGGTGCTTTTTTAATTACTTCTTGGACTGCTTTTTGTGTGTGTGTGTGTGTGTGTGTGTGAAAGTGATTCGGGTCGGGCCCAAAGTTCAGTATGGGCATATGCTTGAACTGGTCCCTATTGGACTCCATTCCTATACGTGTTAGATTTAAGAAACAAGAGTAATATGGCAACAGAAAGTAAACAATCACAAACATAAGATTTTACCTGGAAACACCATAGGTAGAGGAGGAGAATTCAATATATGATAAAAGAATACAATGATCTTGTATCTCCAACTTGCTCTCTATCACTATGAAGAGCCAACTATATATAAAGTACATGCCAAATCCTAATTATAGTGTTTTAGGTGAAATAGACATTCCAAAGCTTATCAAAATTGTGAACAGGACTTGGGCAGAATAATAATGACGTTTGAGTTGCAACCTCGCACCTAGGGAGCAGTGGCGTTCAAGCGCCAAAGCTTATTGTAAGCGAGCAACATACGATGCTTCAGCGTGGTGCTCAAGAGCAAAATCTCTAAACTATATCCAATTTTCACACTCGATTGGTGCCTAAGCGCCCGATAGTGGCGATGTTCTCCTTCGAATTCCTTGGTTCATATTTTGACTTCTTCAAGACCTCTTTCAACCAATCTATCAATACCAGGTGAATTTAGGTCACATTTCAACAAATTTTCACATTGACGCAAATTCTACTACAATTAACAAAGTTTCAGAAAAATCTCCACATGTATATGAATTCCATTGTAAGGAATAGAACTTAACTATTCAACAAAAATTCTCCACCTTTTCTACAAAGCCCAAGTTGGAAAAACTTAGGCCATGTTCTCTTTGTCGTTTTCCAGCCATTTTCTGTTTTTAATTTCTCAAAACAATGAAAACGCGTTCTCTATCTCATTTTCAAAAACGCATTTTGAAAAATGAAAAAA